GTAGTCTCCTAGGAGGGAAGTAAAGCCCAGGAGGGAGGTCAGAGCAGTAACAGAGCCAGGGTAAGGAGAGAAACTGGTGCATACGGCCATGATTCGTGAACGAGCCAACCAGCCATAGATCATGCGCTGCTGAAATCTCTGTCATTATTACAGAGCAACACTTGGGACATGCTATGAGCTGCCTTTGGTCCCTACAGCACATGTATTGCAGCCTGGGCCTCCATATGCACTCTTTCCATTTCCAACATACTTGTAGCAAATCTCTCCCTTCTTATGACAATGTGAGAGAGGAAGTGCCTCCTTAGAAGGCTACCGTTTTCCATCATACCTCCAGGAAAGGCATTTCTCTCTGCCGATGCAGACTTTTTAAGGCCCTGAAGTTATTAAAAGGGCCCCTTAACTATTTTATAGGGGATAAAGGCAAAATCTCCAAGTTCATGAGATATACTACATACAAGAAATCATACATAGGGCACAACTTGTATTGCTTCCCTAAGCCCCAACAATTATATACCATTAGGTTTCTCTTATCTATTGAAATTACTTACTATGTATGTCTAATGACTAAAATGGAATGATATTCACCCAGTTCCATATATTCCTATCCTCTAAAGATCTACAGTCAGCCAGCGTAGAATCAAAAATTTGCTACATAAATCTGCTGGGAAAATGTGAAATAGGGAAAGGTGGATAGACCAAAAACAGCTAGACAGGAGAACTGTGGCAGTGATTACTTATAACAGAAAATTTTCATCAGCCATCAGCAAGCTTCCTAAATTACACAAAATCCAAGAAAGGGCAACTTTTATGCAACCTTTAGATTCATCTCCCTTAGTAATATTGCCAAGACGGCCTTCATTGCACATGTAAATAAACTGATGAAAAAAAGAAAAGCATAGCACATGACTATCTAATAATCATATTTATTATACTACTTATTTCACTGGTGTGATTAGTGCTTCTCTGTTAAAAATTATCTCTCAAGAGTAAAAAAATGGATCTCAGATGAGTGCTCATTATATCAGCAAATCAACACAAAAAATCCTTAATTTTGATGGATAATTGTACTTACTTGATATAATCAAAAAGGAAACATCCAGATTAAGACTCCCCACATAAGGGATAATTTGTCTTGATAAAAAAAAAAAAAAATTAATTTACTATTACAGCAGCAGTAGAATTTCAGTAAACCATATTGTTTTACATCCTTAGGGCTGTCATTCTGATGTTTTCCCCATTAGTCAGGGAGATCAAAGAAACCTGATATCTCACAAGGGGTTTGAACTACAATGAAGTAGAAACTTGCTCTAACTCGTGGTCAGTTTTTGAATACTGTCCAAATCAGATGAACAAAATGTTGTTGTCCTGAGAAGAGACCTGTGTGAAATGGGACTGCTAGTCTCAGGAAATTCAGAATAAACTATAGAACCTTTTGCCTTGAGTATGAGTTTGACTCATGCCTAAATCTACAACAAATTTCTCAACTGTTCTATAGATTTGGCAAACGGTTTTGCAGTCTCAATCCTTTTCTTAGTGGCATGTATCTAAAGTACAAACCTGTTATTAACACTCTTACAATAGCAAGCAATGTTAGTAGAGACCACGAACTGAGTTAAGTATGGAAACTGAAAAGTCCTTTCCTTCCTTGAAAGGACTTTAAATTTCAGCTGCCGGTCAATACAGGGCAAGTTTTGTTTGTTACTTTCTATATTATAGCTATTGCATGGAAGACATTTGTCTCTAATATTGTAAATCCTTTGTTTTTCAAATTAATTGAATACATGTTCTATTCATTTTAATTCTAGCAAAACCAAGTCAGATTGTTTTTTAAAACATACGTATTGATTCCTCAAGCTGTAAGAAATATTTAGGCAGCTCATCCCCAACTCCACTAATTCCCATGTCAGAAAAGCACTTTTAAAAAGAGTGATGTTAATTTCTCATTTCCCAGTCTTCTTGTCTCAGACTTTATGCTAGAAGGTTTTATGGACTGAAGTTCTGAGGTTACCCTATGTCATCATAGTTAGTTTGGAAGATGGCACTCATGTTCAGCCTCTTTCTCCAGTGCAGCTGGAAGATAAACCAGGGTCTCCTCCACTGCACTCTGAAGTACTACCCTGTGAGGAGGGCTTGCTGCGTATTGTAGGACTGCCTTTGTGAGGTGCAGGGTATGCAGCTTTTCTCAGAGAACTGTGGGAGTTCAGAATAAGTCTCTATGTCCTGTCTCATAATGTAGTTTTTTCTTAAGATGATGCCAAACGGACAGTGCATCATCTGACAGCAATCTATAGCTATAGACTTCCAGGGAACATTCACAACATGGTTCTCTGATGCTCTCATCTTGCTGTTTACATGTTACAGAGCTGCTGTTAGGTTTACACACAACTCTTGGAAAGTGCTTTTTGTCATCCAAAGGTTCTAAAGTTGTGGCAGATCATTCCAGATTCCCATTACAGTTTAATCCTCCCACTCAGTGCTCACAGTACAGGCCCCAAGTGCTTGTTTCATACACATATTTGCTTAATGAATGCATATTGAATTGCTGAGCTTCACTCACTTCTCCTCAGATCTCCGTAAGTACATTACGAAGTTGGCTTTTCCCCTATACTTGAAACAGCTAACCAACACAACCCACATGTTTCTAGAGGAAAAATGGCAGCAAGACAGAAAAGCGGCATGTAAACTCCTAAAGGGGGATTGGAACACAAAAATCCCACAGCTACCTGAGGTTTAATCCTGAACACCATGCAGGAAGCCCCAGAAAACACTGCAAAATCGCCCTAAGTTTGTTTACCATGTAAGGGTGGGTATTGCTGGTAGCTTCGCAGCAAGATATGGTTTTGTAAGGATGCAACAACAAAGCAAACACAGGAAGACTCTGCCAGAACAGCCAGTACAGGAGCAGCACGCTGATGGAATTTCCAGTAGCACACCTTTCCTCTGTCAGTCTGGCCCAATAACCACTCCATAGGTAACCTTTCCATAATAGCCTTTCTGATAACCTCCTATTGCTTGGGATAGTACATGTATCGAATCTTAAACTCTCAAAGCAAAGGGTATCCCATTCATAACCTCTGATTCCCTAAACTTTCCATGTTCTTTGACCTTAAATCATAATTACCCCATGCAGATTGCTACTTCATATACTTGGCACACTGGCACATAAATCATTTGACTTCATCTTGGAAGTATAGGAGCAGGTTAGATAAACACCTGTCAGGAACAGCATGAGTATTCCTAATTCTCTTTCACATCGAAATCTTTCCATTCTTATTTTCTTAATGATTTAGGGTAAATTAACTGTTGGGTATATCTATTGAACAGTTGCCTTTCCTGTCTCTCATCCGGAGGTTGTATGAGACTGTCTCAATTCTCTCCACTCTAGACAGAGATTCAGATTAGGATCAACAACAAATTTACAGTAAAATACAAATTAGCATTAAATTTTAAAAAACTGTTTACAGACTGTAGCAATTTCATTAGCAATTAAGGTCTTAGAGTGGCAGATGTTTGATTCTTTTCAGCTGTCCATCACACAGAGATAAACAACTAAGAGCATTCACACAGCATGAAAGACACCATAAATGTATAGAGATAAGCAGTGAAAGACCCTGATCATGTCAGCTGCACATAAGGCATATCTCATTATTCTTATCAGAACTTGTTTTTACATGCTCTTAAAGACTGAAGAGTGTCCTACAGTTGCCAAAGGTAAAAACTGACAAAAAAATCCTACTTAATGTTCATTATTCCCATTGTGTGGGAATAATGCACTCTGAGTGGTATCCTGTTGTGCCTTAAAAGCTTAATGGTGATGAATTGATCATAAGAAAGGCTGCTATACACGGTCTCAAACTGATGTGCCTTGTCCTTGATTTGGGGTTTCAAAATTCATGTGTACTTGGTTTAATACCTAAGATAACGATTTCACTATCTGGCTATGAAAGTTTAGTAAATAGGTTTGATTGGCTGAAAGATATAATACTGTATTTCATCTGAACATTCTGCCATTTAAGTACTATACACACTATGTATATTTATATATACATATACATATGCACATAGACACTTGTCCTCTAATATGTAGCTAACATATTTTGGCTGAAATAAAATTGAGGTAGAAGAAGAAAATCCACAAATTTCATTGTCTTTTGGAATTTAAAACAAAATCAGAGTATAATTTGATGTGAAAATATTTATTTCTTTCTCAGTTTTGGAAACTGGATTGAATCCATTAGTATTGGAACTAGAAAGCGTATAAACAATTTCATTAAGGAGACATGTTAGCTCCAACAATGTTTATTGGGGCAAGTCTGCATTCAAACTGCATATGGTGTACCTTTAAATAGGGTTGTTAAAATACCAAATAAAATGTCAAAGTCCGTCAGGTCTGGAGCTTTTATAAATTGTTTAGACTGGGGATAATTTGGGTTTTGTACATCATTCTTTGCAGCTCATGTAGAAAGGAGATAAAAAAAAAAAAGTAGGACGTGAAGAACAATGAAGTGTAGTCAGTTTGAAGTTGTTTCATGGGAAGGCATATTCTGGATCATTACTCTCCTAATCAACAATTTCCCTCTTCCTCCATAACCTGCACGCCCGCTATTTACCTTTCCTCTCTTTGGGTGGCATTCTGAGGTTACGCACGTGGCTAAATAATCATATTAAAAAAATCACTTCAAAAGGGAATTCCAGAGCAGCTTGCCAGATAGGTACACACTGAGAGCAATTTTGTCTTGGATTATCGCTCCCTATCACCTCGATGTTCTGGAAAAAATACTTTGTTGGCTCGACGGCAAAACTCTCCCTTGTGAACGGAAGCCTTGGAGCGGTGGGATCTGCCAGCTGCCCCCCAGAGCTGCTGGGGTTACCACGCCTTCGTGACCATCCTCCTCCTCGCTCGCCCTTCCTCCACCCTCCCCGCCAGCCCGGCCTCACAGCCTCTCCTTTTCAGCGTCTGCCCGTGTGTTTTCCCACACACAACGCAACCCAGACCTCACCTTCAGCTCTCCGGAGGCCACTCGGGAAGCCAGCTCGATGACACAGCCCACAGCCATGCGTGCAGCCCCGGCCGAGTGCAGCTCGTTCCAAATGGTGTCACTGTCCACCTGAGCAAACAGTCGGCCGGGAGAGAAGAAAGAGGGAGAGAAAGGGAAGGAGAGGGAGAGAGAGAGGGAACAAATCAGCGAGGGAGGGCTGGCAGAGTGACAGCCAATGTACAATAACATTAGTCTTCCGTCTTGGCCAGCTGAAAGGCCTTCTGGACATGGCTTTGCTTATACTTTTTCTCTACACGGACTTCTCCAATGGAAACACATTCCTGTCATGCCTCACTGCCATTCCCTGTTTAGATTTCTCATTACAAACAGCATTACATCGGCCGGATCTGGCCTACTTACGGGCCCGTCAGACACCACGGCACAGCAGTGGATGCAATGTACACCGAGGGTCGTTACTTAGGCATAAAAATTGGGAGCTGCGAGTGCCAGCACGAAGCATTTAAAAGAAATCTGTGGCTACTGGCGTTAGGAGTAGTCACAAAAATCTGTGCCGTATTAAAAACTTACCAGTAGCTGAGATCATTATATTTGAAAAGGCAATAATAGTTTGCGTTTCTCACACAGAGAGAAGACATTTTTAAATTTCTGAAATTAGAATAATTATTTACATTAATTTTAATACTATTACCATAGACAGAAAAGAGAATAAAATAAAATAAAATAAAACAAAATAAAATAAACTCCCTGTGGGATCTCCACCTTTGATGAACTGATAAATTTTGACTGAAAGGTTTTAGGATCAAACGCTTTATCACACTTTATGAATGTTGCTTATTAAAAGCAGAGAAATTTTTCTTTCACACATTCGAAATGAGAAATTGTCACACGTAAAACTTTATACGAATAATATATAAAATATAAAATATTTCAAGGATGACAAAGTAGACCTGCTATACAGCTACACTTGATATGCAACAATTTTATTTTGAAATCTATATATTTTAGTAACTATTTATTTGCAGAAACAAACAGAAAGATACACATGAAATGTTGTATATCCCATATATGATATTATGTCAGGCAGCAATGATAGAGTGAAATAGCCTGAAATAGTCATCCAGGCAGACAACCAGACTTCCTTGATGCTCCATGGGAAGTGCATTTAATTATATCATACGATACAAGTTTATCATGAAAAGAAAAATGTTTAGGAATAGATAAAATGCTGTGGCAGATGCTATCTGGATAATTTCCAAATACACTGAAACATGTTTTTAGTTTGAACCAGAAGCTTCTGTTCCTAATTTCTAAAAAGAAAAAGGAAAAAAAAAAGAAAAAGAAAAAAGAAATCAAGTAATTGAAAATGGATGCCACTGTTACTTGACTCTGGAGGTTCTGAGAAATTCTCTGATTAGTCAGTTGAAACAGAGAGAAGCTTGATCTTCTCTACACCTGTCAAATGTCTTCACCATTACGGTTACAATAATATTATATTTCAAGCTACTAAAATGATCTTATTTCTCCATGATAGAAAACTCAGGACCTTTTTATCGGCTTTTTATGCGTGTAACAGAACAAATGAAAATATACATATTTAAACTAGACCTGAATGAGAAGACTGGATTGTGCTTGAAAAATTTAGAATAATAATAATAGTAACAGCACGCTGTATTTTCTTCTGAGGATCTCAGAATGTTGTACAAACACAATTAAGCATCATCAGCTAGACATAGGATGATTTATAATATTTGTTTTGCAGATTGGTAACCTGAGATTTAAAGAAATGAAGTAGCTTTCCCAAAGACACACACAAATAGGTAGTTCAGGATATTACAAAAAGAAATAAGAAAGAAACCAAGCAGTAAAAAATTAATGACATATTTAACATTAAGCAGAACTTTAGGCTCTTTCTCTGTTGCTTTAAAGTGACTGTGAATCAATTCTTACATTTTAAAACAAATACAGAAATAAATAAGTGGAGGTCACCAGCTAAATCAATTTAATCAAATCATAATAAAGTTTGAAAAATACTGTGCAGTACTTTCTTTAAAGAGGTTTTAACAAGAGGGCTGGGAAGAAGTCCTTTCTTACCATTTTTATGGCTAGCAAATTAAGGTTAACATGAAGGAGTGGCTGACGAAAATGATTCAATGGCAGCTGCTCAGTACACCAGGGCACGAGCAGGAGCCTGCATCCTCAAAGGGACTATGATTCATTTCCAGGAAGGCCGATTAAGTTAAAATTGTAACCACAGCTTGAGAGTACCCACCCTTCAAGACAGTTGTCTGCTCTGACACATGAGAAGGCCGTTTCTCCAACTGCTGAACACTGTGTATTGGCAAGGGTATGGCATTTATCATTTTCTGCTTTCAGCTAAGTGTAAGGAAACTGAACTGAGACAATAAGGCCAAATATCTTCACTGCAAAATTTCCCTCAGTTGACTTGAACGATTTCTACCTAATTTTAACTACACTTGACACAAAATGGGCAACCAGGAACCAAAACAGCATTTCCCGAGGAATTTTCAAAAAAGACCATCTAAGTATACACAGGAAATTCAGGATATTTTGGCTGATTGCTTGGGATAGTACATGTATCGAATCTTAAACTCTCAAAGCAAAGGGTATCCCATTCATAACGCATATCTGAGTGCACAGTAATTATAATATGGGAAAACTAACATATAGATATGAGTAAGTACCAAGGGAGGGCACAGTATTATAAACTTAAATGTCAGAACTATTCCATATTCATGCAAAATTCAAACTGCATTTCTGAGCAACAGCTCCTGTAAAACAACCCAGTGAAATTTTGATCTTACAGACAAAGGTCTTGCAGTCACAACTGGAAAGTGCCATCCCACTCATCTCACTCCATTTTATATCTCTACTGCTGTTAGTGCTATGTTGTGACTTTCCTTAAATGTTTCAAGTGCTTAAACAGGTTTTTTTCTGATGTCACTCAGCATTTACTTAGTAACTAGCTGTTGAAATACAGCAATATCAATGGAAAAACCTATTAAAATTACAGCTATGAGCTAGTCCAGTTGTTGTGCTATATATGAAATACAGCTATGTAAAATTCTACTAGATATGCTTGTTTTATTCATAGGAGATTAAATGATTGGAACTTATATGAGCAAGGGGAATAAGATTAAACTCTGTGGTTTCTGGTTCTACTTCATGTGTGTATCAGATATATCTCACAGTATATCTAGATGCTAAGTATGCATGAACTTGTGACAAATGTGATACTTTCTGAATCACAGTCTATGAGAAAGTCAGAGGGAATTTAGTAAAAAGTTACTTTTTCCTCCAAGTGATTTGCAGTATTTAATAAAAACTCTCCATTAGGAACTTTTTGTGAAAGTTTCAAATAAAATTTACAGGAAATATAACATTTCTAGCATATGCTAAGATTCTAATACAGAATCTTAGCTTTTTTTCTTTCATGTTTAATTTCATTTATTCTTAAAATAAGATTCCTTTTAAAAAATGACAGGACAGGAAAACGTTCTGAATGTCTAACCAAAATGAAAAAGAAATGTTTTTTAAAGTATCAAAATGTCAGTTTTAAACTATAAGCAAACTGCAAACTGTTTTGTTATCAAAAAAACTATCACTGCTGCAGCTCTCCAAAGAACGAGGATTGTGCATGATAGCCACAAGCCCTATCTGAACACTAAACTTTTTAACACACATATGGATTTACTTCACTCCGAGTTTCCTGAACGAGCACTGTAGGTTGTAGGTTTTTTCAAGCACATCTAGTATAGCTCAATCATTGGCATGTGTAGCAAAGCTAATACTCTGTAAAGCTACAGATGATAGAAATTAAGCTACCTGTCCCTGAAGTGGATGTGGAGGCATTAAAGAGGAAAGGAATGACTTAAGTGAAAAGAAATGTAGGTAACTTCTGCTGTTTCAAGTGGTGTGTGCAGAAATTCCCTGACTTACCGTATGAAAAGAACGTAATACGAATGTTTCCTACAAGAAATACCTATGTGATAATTTAAGCTTCACAATGAAAACTTTAAGCATGCTAAAAACAAGCTAACAAATAAATTTCACAGCAGATACGTTTCAGCAGCTAGAAAGCATGCACTATACCACCTTACTGCTCGAATATTTCATATTAAGAGATTGGCTATAAAGCCTGAAAGTTACCAACTCCTTACACCTTATTCATATTTTATATATATATCTGTATATATCTGTATATACATCTGTATGTGAAGGTGGAGAGGAAAGATATGGAAATACATCTGAGAGGGATAAATTGTTTACGTAAAGGTCATTCTGAAATCACCATAGTTACTGAAAGTGGAAATGCTACTTATATTTATCTGAAATTTATCTGAGTTGCAAAAAAAAAAATTGCATGAACAACAATTCTAAAGTATTTTTAAAAGATTTTTTTGTAAACGCCTTTTGTTTTATCTGTCCCTTCCTCTGCTAGATAACTTCCTCACTCCTCATCTCATTTGAGTCCGCCATCCTCTGGAAACCTCCTGGGATGTGCCTTATTGTCACTGGCCATAACTCTGTCAACTGGATATTCTGCTCACAATCTGACACACCTTTCCATTTTTCACACCCTGCATGGTGTATTCAGCTGTATGAGTTATTTCTCACCTTTAACTCATTTTTAGAAACTCTGAAGATGTCTTACATACACATTCGCTGATAGCTGGATCACAATATAAAAGAGAAGCAAAACTATTTAGGATAGAATCTGATGAAGCATCCTTTCCCTCTCACTCTTCCTCTATCACACCCACACCCACACCCACACACTCTCTTGATTTAACATAGGTGCAGCTTCTGCAATGGACTCCTGATGCCATTCAGTGACCATTCCTAAAAAGAATTAAATATATACCAAACCTCTCATCCCATTCTGGATTCTCTGCACAGTTGTTGCCATCATGAAAAGCAAAAGCATTCTTCCAAGAGTTATCACTTGGAACTACGAGAGGTCCAGTACTTACTCTCTGAGAACACTGGGATAATGCAATTTGTTGTCTAGCTGTGCATGGCAATGTTGACAAGGGACAATTGTTTGATTGTATGCTGTGTGTCCAATGTCTTAGAGAAGAAGTACAAAA